CTGTTGTGTGGCTGATAAGACTTGGTTTATCAATCTTTGTTAATGAGGAAAGTTCTTGAAAAGCATAAGTTTGTCCCCCCCCACCCCCCTTTATTTTTTCAACTAAATTGTGTACCTTTTACCCTCCAGCGCAAGAGATTCAAGAGGGCCCAGAAGCGAGCACGCTTCGCCAAGAACAAAGACGAGAAGACAGAATTTGCCAAGCTCCTTGCCATGAGACAGAAGGAAGCTAGGGAGAAGAGGGCCGAAGAGATCCGCCGCCGTCGCTCCTCCATGCGCGACTCAAAGGCTTCAGAAAAGTCCGCAACCGAGAAGCCCGCTGAGAAGCCTGCTGCCAAGAAGACTGCAACCAAGAGGCCCGCCACTGACAAGCCTGCAGCTGAGAAGCCCGCAGCCAAGAAGCAGGCGACTGACAAGTCTGCCGCCAAGAAGCCCGCGCCCGCCAAGACCGCTGCCAAGAAGCCCGCTGCCGCTAAGACAACTGCCAAGGCCCCAGCTCCCAAGGCTGCCGCTAAGAAGCCCGCCGCTGGAAAGCCCGCAGCTGCTGCCAAGCCTGCCGCTAAGCCTGCTAAGGGAAAGGGAGCAAAGAAATAAGCTAATAAAGCCTCCTCTTTAGTCTTCATATTTTATTTAAAACCTCAATGATTGCATTTTGATGTCTTTTGAGGACTTGATGTCCTTGTGGTATGATATTTATCCAGGTCGTCATAGAACCTGAAAAGCAATCCTCTTTGCTGCAAATAAATTAAATTGGTAGTTGCATTATACATACATACATACATACATACATACATACATACATACATACATACATACATACATACATACATACATACATACATACATACATACATACAATTTTTTGACAAGGTGAACCAATTTGCTGGATTTTCCATTACCTAATTTATTACAATTTATCGGACTTGAATAATCAAGCATCCAACACACCTGATATACTTTCACTTTAATTTATCAGTGAACCAGATTTTAGAAAGGCCTGAGAATTTTACTGCCAGAAAATCTGAATGAATATGACCTAGCAGAAAAGGGTGTTCTAATATCATTCTATTAACAGATTGCAACTAGGTCATTCACAATGGGAAATAACAAATTTTAAGTGGTAATGTGACAACGAAGGTAATCAATAGTATTTGATCACATTAAACCTAGGGCCTAACTACAGCAAAATTTTAGCTGCCCACAATAGTGTTAAAGATATTTAGTGATTTCTCTCCAGTAATACCCAGGGTCTGATGCCCTTCATTGTCATGGGTTTTAGTAGACGGGGACAAGCCCAATGAGGGGGATCACTGCCTTGGTTGTTGTCATGTGGACCTTGGAAGACCTGGACAGGGATCACCCCCTGCCTTTGATCTCTGCCCTTGCCTCAACTAATTTTACATGGTCTTTTCTTCATCCCCATTTCCTCTCCTCTTCTCTTTATCGTTAACTCATTTTTACCTTCTCGCCACAATACTTCATCACTCCGCCACTGTGTGCACATCACATCAAGTGCGTTTGTCACGTATTCAAGATTATTACCCCTACTTTAAGACCTTCCTTTATACCTGATGGCAATTTTCCACTATTCGCTATGAATCTCCTGGTCAGCTCCATTTCATCAGAAGAGAGGCTGGGAGATGTCTCTCCCCCACTTATGTATTGGCCATGCCCGTCTAACACCCCTTTCTGATCCGCCCTTAGGTTCCCTATATAATGTTCCTCTTTCAGTTCCACACATTGTTTTCGTCGTCCACGCTTTGTTGCAGCACATACCTCTGCTTTCTGCCCTACCTATCCTCCTTTCATCTGCCTCCCAACCTATCAGACATCCTTACAGAATCTCACACTTTCTGCTTTGACAACTTGTTCTTCCTCGGACGCATTCGTAGACTTCACTTGATCTACCCCCCCCCCCCTACCTAATCCTACTGAGACCCATTCACTAAACTCCCTTACCCACTTTCAACCTCTCCACTATTACTATAGATTGTTGATGTATAACCAAAAAAAAATACCCGTAGAGTTCGCCCCCATGCCCCACACCCTATCGCTATATTTTGAATGTGCTGCTAATAACCTTGGATGTTGAAGCGACAGAAAAAAATCAATCAATAATTAGAGACCCCATGTTAGGGATCTCCCCCCCCCCCCCAGCCTTAGACCAAAGCCATCAACTCAAGCAATTGCGCAAGGTCTTTTCTTTTTCCTTTACTTTTCCTTTCCTCCAAACCCGTCTGTCCACATAGGCGGGCAACTGTAAAGGTAACGTCACAGGCGAGAAAATGAGGAAACTACTTGACTACCGAGTAGTGTGTCTGCTTGTGACGTCATTTTTATTCGTGGCTGCCTGTGGGCAGGCCTCACGCTGTGAGAGCTATGTTGAAAGGTTAAAAGACTGGGTTTGGATCAGCCCGCAACAGCTTCGAGCAGCCATGGGCTCGGCATTCCTCTGTTTATTTATCGAGCCCTTACTCCTCATGGGGGCTGTGAGTGATGAACCATTTCTTCCCCACATACTCCAGGCTTACCATGCCTAATAATGATTTTGTACCCTTTTAGGGGCACTGAGGCTTGCCCCTTTGTCAACTAGCCCCACTGACTTCTTTCCGGTTCCCCGACGCCTGGCTCTCCTTTGACCACAACTCATCACTGCTACTACCCCTTCCAGATACCTGTTCTCAGCTTAGTCCATTCATTCATTTTCAACTCTTGTTCCCATATAACGACTCTGCAACCTTATCGCCCACCTCCCTGCTGTACTACTTCGCTCAGCACCACTCCCTCTTCCTCCGGTCCTCGTTCTTTAAGTACTACATCTACAGATCTTTTGAGTGCTCTTTTCAGCCCATTGGGATCAATTATTTGATTCTTTCTACAGCCCCTTACTTTAACTGCCCTCCTCTCCCAACAGTGTCTTGAGAACAAGTAGGCAAAGCTCCTTTCCACAGCCGTTCCAATTATTCACGTCTTGTAAGAGTTGATGAGTCCCAAATTCATGTATTACCTATCTTAAATTATCACACTGACAAACCTATTCTTGCCTAGCAGCACTCCTCCGTTGTGACTTGTACTGGTACTGTTTCCATCTCAATGACTGTCCTGATACGACAAGGACTAGTTAGCCTGTGAAAGCTACCTGCTTGTCTGCCTCGTTGACTATGATGCATTATCAGTTCAGTGCTTCACTCTACCTCCCTGAGACCGCCGAAAGTAATATATTGCCAAGATTAGCCTCCGTAGATATGACCTCTCATATGAGGTTTATATTGGCGGAGAATCTGGCCCCGTCAATGTTAAAAATGTTGGTGTTTTGGCCACTGTCGCTGCACAGCCCGCTGCCCTCTATGTACCCAACCTAGTCATGACCAGGTACGCTAATTGTGTGGCTCCTATAATGTATTTTATAGGAGCTGCCCTGCCTACAAGTCCGAGTCTGAGGTACCAATTATCAGATTGTCAAAACTTCCCAACTTTGACCCAAGAGAACACCCGCTCCCTCATCAAC